GCCTTTACTACTGTTTCTACGGTCTCTCTCAAGATGAGTCTGTTTCTCGATATCAGATATGCGTTTACTTATTTGTTACCCGTGTGAAGACTTTGAGTCCTCATCAGATTGGAAGGAGTAGGGGCTCTATACCTGTTTTTTTCTGTCGGTTCAGTCGTAGGTATATACATGTACGGAGTAGAGTGGTCCGTTTACGCAAGCGTCCCAGGAGAGGAATTCTTCTGACGGTCTTCTCCATCTATAATCTGTAGCTAGGAAATATATTTAAATTCACCGTTGATTTGATGATACTTAGTTTCTCCAAAGCCTCAGGATGGTCGGGGGTGAGTGCCTTGCGCCGCGGGTTGGCCACCTCTCCGCACACCTCTTGAAATGCTTCCCTTTTGACCGGGCGTCTTACATAGCCTCTCCTGAGGAAGTCCTACTCACTGCCTTCACGTGGCGGAGGTGTTTTTCACCAAAGTGAGAGGGCGAAAGCGGATGCCCGGCGCTCTTCACCGGGTTGACTGTCCACTGGATGACAGTCTAGGGGAGATGGCTAAACCCTGATTCCAAACCTCCAACGACTGGCGTATGAAGCTCACTGGAGCTCACGGGAAGACGTATGGACAAAGGGCTTGTTGGATGTCCTGGATGAACTCCGGTCACCGGCTGCCAATGGATAGTGGACTCCCTACTCCACTCCTACTGCCTTGTAGGTCACACTTGGTTGTGTAAAGGCTAGAGCTGCACTCTCAAACAAAAGGTCGAGCGATTCTGGGGACATCACTCGTACCAAATTCCCATGAAACTTCATGAACTCTCTTACAAACGCTATGGAGCAAGAGGGAAATCAGTCTCAGGACTAAAATTCAGGTCTACCAAGCCTCCATACGATCCGGTCTCCTGTATGGCTGTGAAACCTGGCCTCTTCGCGCGGAAGATGTACGCAGACTCGAGGTAGTAGACCATTGGTGCCTCAGGTACATTCTGCATGTTCGTTGGCAGGACATACTCTCCAACGAAGAAGCGCATCGTCGTTGCTACAACATCAACCAAATTCCAGTACTGGTCCAACAACGTCGCCTTCGGTGGTTTGGCCATGTTCTGCGCCGACCAGATGACGATCTGGTCAAACCAGTTCTAAATCCCTCGCCATTACCATCTTGGCGATGTCGCAGAGGTGGACAGCTGAAAACATGGCTTGGTACAGTCAAGGCTGATATGGAGTGCCTGGGGCTACAAACCGTCTACGGACTCCGTTTGTGGAACAAGAATTGGATAACCCTGTCGCAAAACCTTGCATCAGATCGCCGCGCCTGGGCAGCGATGATTCGAGATGTTCATGAAGCCGGCTCATCCTCCCGTAGGAGATAGCCGAAGTAAAGTAAAGTAAGTAAGTTTCTCCAAAAACTCCCCATTGACGACGCGATACAGTTGAGGGTATGTGTGACGCAATCTGCCCCTCGAAGGTCTTTTGAGAAAACCACCTGGTTGGTCTAGCTGTCTATGGAAAATTTCAGACCTCATATACTATACAGAATTGCAATTCAACAAAAACTTCGATTCAACTACAACAATACTCAACTATTGATATTAATGTCCCTATAACATCTATTACTGTCGCATACGAACTTTTCATTTTTTCCACTTTTAGTTTTATTCTGATCTTTATCCTAACCTATACTGCTGTGGTTCATGAGATCAGGTGCTAGATTTCAACAAATGAATTACGGGTTTGGAACCTACTACACCTGGTGATATTTGTGCAACCAGGTAGTATCACAATTGCTCATATACTAAGTCTGACTCACTGCCTAATATATGAGCATATAAGTAGTTGTCACCTAGCTGCTCGTCATTCTTTGAAATGTTGGTACACCTATACCGTTGCGAGTCACTTAATAATTGTTTTCATAAAGTGATACTAGTCATCTTGTCTCGTTTAGGTTTTCCACTTACAAAATCCACGTCTTAATGCAAATCGGCACACACAACTTGGGAAAGAACTCTTATACTGATGTCAGAAGCATATCAGAGACCAGTATTGAAAAGTTCAGTGAAACACTTGGAAATTCTCCGACTGTTAACTGAAAGATACTTTCAACTATACGTGGGTCATTACAGTCTTTAGCTACTACCAACCTACGATACACCTATCACCTTTATGCTATTCGGCCTTCTTCGTAGACACAAATAAACCAAATTGCAATCAGCCAACAGACATAGGAGTTCTTTCTCGAATACTTTTCTCGACTCGGATAAGTGCGTCATTGAAAGTTAGATTTACCCTGTTTTAGTGGTAGCCACAATCGTCATTCTAAACAAACTGATATAGGAAAACCAGATTTATCTACTATTCCAACTAAATATTCAACCAACCTACATTCATTGGTCGCTACTAATCTTCCAAAAAGACAGCACTTGCAAACGTCTAAACACGTCGCAAATAAAGACGTTCGCGATTTAGAACAGCCCACTGGTAAATACTTAATTCCTGGGAATTCTTTGCAACTTAATGGTTCTTGTCGGTTAGATCTGGTGGGTAGCGAGTATAGTAATGAGTAAGGATGTTACGCACAAAATCAAATAACGACTACGCACAGACCACACAGTCTAGTAACTACAATATACGAATGACATAGAAGCAACGTCTACATCTAAAAGCAGTTAGAAGCTTTATCCACTTATTCAGACCACAGACAACAAGCCTGGTGTCGGTGAGGCGGTCTGCTAAGGCAGACAGTAGGATAGTTCATAGCGTTCATAAATAATTGGAGTACTTTGCAAAAATAGTTTAGCTGACTTAGTGTCAGTGTTCTTTGCTCTATATATTACTTTATAGTCAGTTGACGCAGACCTGGCAAACGAATAGAGAATATGGAACTCTAAATACTAATGTTCCATAGGGAGGTCTTTGTGGTAGAATCAAAATATTTGCTGCAATCACATTTTGCCAAAATTTATTAGATGCGGGTGAAATCAACAAACGCTATATTTAGTGCTATATGGTTAGAGACAATCGACAGGAAGCAAACTTGAATGAGAGAGTACAGTGCGCATCAACACCAAGGGATACACGCACGACATTGGTTACTCCATAGTGATCAACCAAGGTAAACGTAATACTTCTTGATTTTACGGCTGCTTTGATTCATTGAATAGGGCCACTTTGAGCAATTCCTTGGTGGATGTGTCCCTAAAATACATACCAACAAATTGTCAGCCGCATACAAAACACCTTAGGTAAGGCTATGGCCTAATAACGTCTCTCACCCCAAATCAAGACCACTAAGTCGGTTTGACAAGAAAGCTGAGCTTTAACATTTTACCCCAAATTTGCGAACAGAATTTTTGATATCCCCCTGAAAAACGTGTGATGGTGGCATGTATCTGCCGTCTAGAGGATGATTTTGTCGGGTATGCACGCAATACTATATGACTACAACACAGAGAATACTGAAATAATATACTATGGTATCCAACTATTGATTCCAATGTCTTGTTTGCTATTTTTAGTCGCTACCTAGTTGCAGATACGAGCAAGAAATTCACATGAACGCGTTAACTCAGTTACTTTTTGTCGACACATTTTATTCCCTAGATGTGCACACAATTAGAATGGCTAATTAGTCTTTTGAGAATGAAAAACCTAGGCTAGACCGCACAATAAACCACAAAATAATCTGCGTCTTGACTAATGTGGTTATGTCACTTGTCACAAAGCCTGATGAGAGTCAGTAATTCGTTTTCTGGTAATAACTAGAAAGAATAATGCAAGCATACAATTTTTCGCTGCATATGAGTTACGAACGACAAACATCTTTCAATTAGTATGTTGGTATGAATGGCTTCATCTTAAGTGAAGTCAGGAACCTTATGCTGTGTAAGTAGGCATTATTATGGCAAAAAATGCTAGTCCAAGAAAACTAATAACAGACTCGTTTGAAACAGTCTGATTTTTTAGTTACGAAACCGTTGCCTGTAAAGAAGTCACAAATTAATCAACTTATGATACAAATGACCCACCCATCAGTTATATGTAAAATGGCAAAGGTTAGTAAATATGGGATATGTTCTTATTCATATATAAAAGGATGGTTCAATTATTTCCCTGCTATAACCACTTATAAGTAGTACGTAATATATTATGTACCACTATAACAGCAATTTGGACAAATGACATGCTAAACTAACTTTAACCAGACATAACACTAATACAGGAGTGAATATATACACATAGTAATGTTAAGTTATTAGGAAGACCGGCAACAGTAAAGAATAAACACTGAAGTCAAATGGTCTTCAACCAACCAATGAGATGGCTCGGCACTATACACTGATGTCTTTCATAACCTTCGATGCAAGTTTCACCCAGATGTTTTAATACCAATAATACAACCACTGGTCCTCTTAGGCACTACCATTCATACAGCCGAGTGAAAAAGGTTATTCGCAACTGTCATCACTAAACTATATTCACAATAAAGTCAATCAAACTTCTGAATTAGTAGATCCAATAATTGGAACTCACACAAATTCTACTGAGGGATTCTGGGTCCATCTAAAAAAACGTATAATATTAAGTGGTTCCGGACATTATATGGTATACAGACACTCCTACGAGAAGCTGGGACCAGGTTTTACAATATCTTAGAGATATATACCCTGCATAATTCAGTTTTATTACATATATGCCCTATAAATTCACTTTTTTTAAACAAATACCACCCAAAAGAATATAATCGGTAGATTCAAGGTCATTCAATTTTGGTGTCTATTCTTTACTGTCACCGGAAGACCCCAAGTAATACCCCCTGTGACCAAAATTAAAATATCATAGAGGGATAGGTACATTCTAATGACAGCTCCTAAAGTCAACTGGTCGACGTTGATGAACAGTAAACTACTAAATTATAGCACAAAAATTCTACCACATACTTTTATACAGTGCTTAACAAAAATTCGATTCAGGTTATCTGGTTACAATGATCTACTAATAAATCAAAACCGTGACTCACTCCCAAATAGATACCAGACTAAAGGACGCGCTGGACCTAGACGAACAAAAGCCGCCACATAGAATATGACCTTCAGACATCAATATCCTGAAAAACAGTGAATACAAACAAGCTAAATTTTATCAGTTGAGAATATTTTCCAATGCACGTTTTTGATCGAGAAAGTTTTTTTCAAGTTTCCGTCTATTAAAATATTCTTTGAAACTTCATGATTAGATGTATTGGGTCACAACTTAACCTTAATTTCAGCCAAACACTTTTATAGCTCTTTGTATTGTGCCCAAAATGCTACTATGTCACCAGCAGTTTTCGATTTAGTCTGACTTGCAGCGTTGCATGCGGGTAAAACACACTCGAAATCTTGTTCTGTCTACCAGGTTCTGGAACCAGGTGGTTTGGAAGTGACAAAGATTAGTAGATAAAGGGATTGCATAAAACCAATGGTACTTAAGGAATGGGCCTTATTTCTCTTAGGAACTCTAGAGTTGAGCTCGGTGCCGACTGTAAAACTACCGGATTAAGCGATATCTTTAACCTTTACTTGGTATCTCCCTTAATAACATGAAAAGTGCAGAGAATGTGAGTAGCACATCCATACAGGACAGTATAAGGTCAATTACGAAGCGCTCGAAAAAATAAAGCAGTTCAGCCGTCTGAAAGATTACCTTATTGCTCGCTTTTCCCATCGAAGTCATTGTCAGACGCTTTATATTATCTCCTATACTTTACAGTGTGTTTAAGCATGAAGGCTGATTTTTATGTCGATATTGCCTTTTCTAACGCAGTAGGCCCGGCATTCACGATCCCGAAAACTACTACTATTGTGTTTCTGAACAACTTTACCCTGTCCATCAAGATTCTGTAGAGCCAACAAAATTCCGCCATTTCTGATAGGGATTTCTTTCTAGACTTTAAAAGTTATTTGGATTCATTAGGCATAGTGGGCTGGCACTCCAGATTGTTGATGACTCATTCTGTGTCCTTTCTAGAAGCTTTTCACGAGCCATAGGTTAAATTTGCTTGACTGTCTTACTGTTTTCAAACTTCACGCACTAGTACCTGCGTTGTTGGCTACCGCCTACAGATATTTTCATATCGACGTATGTAATAGGTCACTGTCTAGGTAGGTAGGTTTGGATACTGACTCCACTTTTTTGAAACGTGAAGTATTTCGAGTGCCGAGTATTTACTTTAGACAATCGTGTGCGTGATGCACCAAAAAGTGGTTGTCCCGCATCAAACTTCACTAATACGTGCTGGCGGGAATTCACGCCTTTGGGCATTTATAAATATACTTATCACTCTTGACAGCTTTCGTGATGAAAAATGCCTTAAGTCAGTTATTTGCAGTGGAAGCCTATCAGCGTATGCCATCTTATCAGGTGTGTCGTTCTCAGCACCAGGAATGACTATCTCTTTTCGGAACTTCAGAACGATTTCGGATATCATTTGGGATTTCGATAACGCAGCACTGGTCTTGATGGTTATCTGGGAATTAAAAATTACCAGTGTAGTGAACTCATTCTGGGGAGTTGGATCAAAGTGAGATGACAACACAGCCTTTAGTTTCCGATGGAATCGCTGCGAACTTTCAGGGATGAAAGCCTGTGCAGAGAATTCTGTTTTATTAAGAAATTTCGAAATGCCAAGGCATATCGAGCTGCCATCTATAGGAGATGGCAGGGAAGCTACAGCTATATGAGATGAGGATAAGCTTTAACTCTGTGTTTTGAATGATTCTCTACCAGCGTTTAAGTCTATAATTGTTTCTTGCACTAAATTCATTTGTATTCAAGACAGTGCCCCTATAAGACTTCACCATGCACTTTTTATATTTCTGATGTCCGTCGTAAACAGTGATATAAAATCCAAGTGATGAATTCATCTTTTTGTTCACTGAGCGCCTGTTACGCGATCCAATGCACTACAATCAGGAATGTCATTGGTGATAGCCGGTAGTTGTCTTACTCTCGTTTTGACTTCAAGGGCTTCATCGAACTTTCTTCTGTAGATCTATTGGTATGTGGCATCACCATACGACTGCTGGATGGGGTTTATGAAGGTCTGAGGCACCGCACTCCTTGGGGCCAAATAAGTCGTCAAAATACTACACAGTTGACGTTATTAATGGTCATTGCAAAGTGGATGAAGTTAAAGTGGAGTGCTGGCTATATCCTCAGTATTGCTGGTGAAAAAGAGTAACGTTGCAGCACGACGGAAAACATCTTGAGAGAAGACGGAATGTTGGCGTTTACGGGAAGTACGCATATACTAACTCAAGTTCCTGCACCCACAAACCCCGGAGTATTTGTTCTGCGTAGACCAAGGACATACTGTAACCAGTATGTTCAACGTTTGCGTTACATTTTGGCGTGATTCGTTACATTTATTAGTTTTTGGACTCTCACAAGTGTTCCTCTAGTTCCATAATTGTAATTAATAACTCTCACTAGTCGGTTATGGTTGATCATACAAAAAAGCCATGAAGCCAGTCGCCTGCTAACCTGATGATTTATAGCATATATCTGCTTGCTACAACAAGCAACACAACTCCCACAAAATATGGCAGTAAATCACACAGCTAACCAATATGCAGCTAGCGTCAAGCTGATGTGTCACTACCACCTATTGTGGCTCCAACTGACAGCAAAAATATGCTTGTAACCAGTAGTAGCATCGCTTCTAAAAACTCAGAACCCACTGCTGACATATACCTCTTCACTATACCTTATGTACGTGTCATGAAACTTCAGATACCAAGTTTAGCTTCAAGACTTACTTCAGAAGTAGAACGACTAAAGCTGTCTGTAGTAGAGCTGAAGACTGAGATGCGGGATATGAGGTGTAGTAAGGTTGTGAATGCAAGATTTTCAGAAAGTATGGCCAATATATCTGAACTATCAACACAGAGTAGTGACATAAAATCACATCCTGACCAGGACCATAAACCCTGGCGAGCTTGACACAGAATCAGTAACTAAGGTAGACATCTTGATAAACTTCATCACGACAGAGGTCATCGAAAGACTAGATACTAAACTAAGTGTGGTAGTTTATAATATACCAGATAATGAGGGAAGGAAAAAGGTTCAAAGTATCTTAACTGGGACGGCGAAAATGCCTAATTCTCAAACAATATGCCACAGACCGAAAAAGAGTCAGAACAACTACTGCCACCATATACGCCTTCAGTTTGAAACACAGACAGAGGCTGAGAAATTCATCAATGAACAAAGTGTCCTATTAGAGGATATGAGCTACAGACAAATGAAGGTTGTAGTGGATAAGACAGTGATCGAAATCTGTGCTTACAATCACTTCACCTAGCCTAATAGCAAGAAAGGTGAGAAACGTCACCAAAGTAAATAAACCCACGGCCAACATGGTAGAATTCATAGCCTGCCACTCTCAAATATGGGCGTTGATAAGGGGTGACAATAAACGTTATAGTGATATATTATCGCGGAATGTATGGGTTATCGTGTTCACGCGTATAGAGGCGTTATAAGCGTTTACTTTTGTGAAAGTAGATAATATATAACTGGTTTCAGGCTTATATAACCGAAAAAGCAACATTTTCCAGTATTTTGTTCGTATTAATGGAAGAACCTGTCATGATATCGCAGAGTATGTATTACTTCAATACCTCATCGTATATAAGAAATTTAGCAAAAAAAGACTATTCTTGGCGTTTTAGAGCCTTAATGGTCTATTAATTGCTAGGTTTTTGAGGAAATATAGGTTGAAAATTAGGTGTATACAATGGTTGTTTACATAGCAGTTATTCTATGATAAGGAGACATTTGAAGGAGAACTAGCCCACAGACACAAGTGAAATATACGTTTTGAGGATACCAAACACTTTTTTATCATCATGCGTGATGATTGAAATATTCCATAACACATCGAAGAGAGTATGCGATGAATGAGGCAATTTGCTGAATTTCCTGGTGATTTTATCCATTTCTCTGAAGTTCCTATTTTAAATGGCTCAGTTGAAGATGTGATACTAGTTTAATTTACATTGTCACATAGAAATTCGGGAGACCGTAATTGCTGAGTGTATTACATTGCATCAGATTATCTCGATATCATTGTGCATTTGTGCCAGAATAATAGTATACATGGTGCTTCTACAATGCCAGACTGCTTCAAATTCGAATCACCTTTCTGTAGAATAGTAGCTCGTAGGTATGTCCTACAACTACTAAACGTGTTACTTAAGTTATATCAGTCTTAATAATTTTTCATGTTCACATCACTAACATATTCTGAGATGCTTAATGAATTACTTGTGACTATGAATGACATGGAAGGTGTACTTATGGCTCATGTTTCAAAAGCATTTACTATGAAACAAGTTATCTGTAGGGATTTTGTGATGTTTAAGTTACAATGCTTGTGTGTATGTAGTTACTGCATGCTATTGTACTTGAAGGGAAAGTGAAGATATGATAAAGTTTTCTCTAAAGTCACTATGAATACTGCAAACTGTTGCTAAGAAACAGCATCAAAGGAATATTTTCGGAATAGCTAGAAAACAGTACTGCAGTTTCTCAGGATGCTGTTCTCCTCCTGGAATACCTTTTAATTGTGTGAGGGAATAGCACTTACCGATATATATGCAGTGTTCATTGTAAAGGGTCCGGAGTTTAACTCTTATTTTAATCTGTTGTAATTGCTAGTGCAATAAATGAACAATGTAAGCTTTTGAAAAAGTTTTAATTTACGATACTTCACGATTATAATTTATAGCCTAACTTATTGTACCTGTAGAGATGTCATGCATTCCTTGTAAACACCCATTTATACAGTATATTAAGGTATTATTTGCTTGGTGCTATACTTTAGAAGAAGAACAATGTATGTCACAGTGAAAACCGCAGAAGAATGCTGTCATGACCAAAGAATGAGAAAGGACAATGAACCTTTTTTCAGCAAAGGTAGGAGAATATGAAGCGTTTCACTTTTACATTACTTATTTCTAACTTCAACGATTTAAAAATTATACCTTATTATTTACTTGTAGATGTTCGGTCAAGTCAGTCAACCAGGTCACAGCAATTACGCATCCTCGCAGTAATTACGAAAAACAATTGTGTGAAGACATTCGCTTAATATTTTTCATGAAATATATTTAACATCCTGCTAACCATACTTTTCTTATTCTATCTCAGTGAAACTAAATTTGTCATTATGACGAGATGTAGGCCTGAGAAACTAATTGTAGTCATAATTCAACGTCGGCGATATCTTACTAACATTGCTACAGCCCAACCTATTAAATTATTCCTCTCGTGTAGACTTCAGTTTACACTGTATGTTAACACCCGTAGTCATATTGATTGACATCTTGCTTTAAGTGAAATAGTAGTAATACAGTGCTTTTGATTACACTTAACTTCATACGAAATCGAAGTCAACTGCAGGGCCCTAAGTTCTATTCTTATTTGTCAAACACTGAAGTTAGGTATTTTTGTAATTAGTCCCTACAGATTTATCTATGACTAGGAGACTTAATCTCAAATTTTTTTCGACGTGACTTAAGTACTTATAATTCACGACTTATATCGGTGGAAAGTGTCCCTACAGATTAGCACTTACGTATAGTAAGGAATTCATATCCTAGGGAGCACCGGTCTAGCATGCCGTACTCCCAACGCGAACACACTAACAGAAAGGCAACAATCTTAATACGAAAAGTTTATTATTATTGTAATACGAAAGTATTTAATTTACACATCAAGAACATTGTTGATTTGAGCAACTACTTGTCCAGCGAACTCTGCGGCAAACCTCCGTCCATATTTGTCGCAAATTCTCGTCAGGCCCGCATTAATAAGCCTCCTATTTGTTACGTATAAGTCACATTGATTTAGCGGCACAATTGCTGACGTGCTTGGAATTGCGTACGATTGGCGAGACCATGTCCATCGTTTACAGTTCTGCAGCACATGATTAACTACAAAAGGTGTAACGGTAAACGGAAATAGAATTATGCACGCAATATTAAAGGATAAATAATGACAGTGCTTAGGTCCTGTTTTCAATTAAGACAAACCCTTATGAAATATATATACATTTTAGTATCTACGAATTTCAGTCACTTAGGAGTAGGTTAATATGCATTAACTATGGAGACATAAAATAGGGAATACTTCAGGTGGCAACCTAGTATATCTTACGTGTAAATGAATATACAAGTTTCAAAAAAGGGTATTTTACCTGTGAAACACGCCTTTTTTAAATGCACCATCAGCAAGTGTCGACAGGGATACCGACAAGTCTGGAAAGTCATACAAGTACATGTGCATGCGCGCAGATCCACCTCTACTGGTCTCCCATTGTCATCCAAGAAGATATAATCAAAACCTTCTAACTGAAAAGAAGTCCATCGTCGCTTCGCATAATCAGCGATCACTTTCTTCGCAGTGTATGGCGTCAGGTGGCGTAAAATTGGTATTATGCGTTCGGAACATGAATACTTGAGGGAACGCGACTGAGCAATCATGGACTCCTGCTCTATTCTAGAATTACTAAGTTGAAACCATTTGTGAACCTTCAGCATGCTTTGATGCAGACTATCTGATCTAAGCAAGTACCGCTTCATCTGCTTGTGAGAACTTTCTACACGATTGTTGGTGTCATTACCCAAAGTCAGTACGTGTTCCCTGAAAGCTGCTGCCCACAAGTGTCGTCGACTCATCCAACGACGTTGTAAATACTGACTGACACCAACATCCAATCGGCTTATAACTCTGAAATAGAAGTTAAATCTGGAAAAATGAAAATATTAAAGGCATTACTCAGATCTCCTTTTACACTGAATTAAGCGACATAAGTAGTTCTTAACAATGGGATTCCGCGTCTAAAATTGAAATTTTAATTATGCTTTTAAATAATTTACTTTACGACAAAATGCACGACAAACATGAAAAGAACAAAGAACAATGTGCGCTTCTCTGTGTGTTAACTTCACTGCTCCTATTTCGGCTTGCGCACAATCCATAATGAATGTTTCTGTTTTAGAGGTGTCTTCCATTATGCTACGAAACGAGTCCAAAATCCAAACAACATCACGCTTGAATTCCTTTCGCGTCCAAGCAAATAGAACCGGTCTCCCACGACCAAAATTATCCGTTACAACCAATTGAAACAAAGAATACCTGCATGTTCATTAATTAATTAATAAACTTACTTCCCTTTATTTGTGTTATATGTAGAATCGATGCCAACAACCTCCGGAAAACGTTTATACAAATCTATTTGCTCATAAGTAGAAAAACAGACTCTCATCAGTGAATTCCTTATCGGTTCATCTGCATAATACTCCAATAACTTCCCACGGGACTTTAGGAATTCAAAAATGTCATAACGGCTCGATATACCTGAAGTAGTTTACATTTACATTAACGTTACCTTTATTAACTGAAGCTTTCAGATTTCTAACGTCATTAAGAGTTATGTCCTTGTGGAATGTTTCCTTAACATGCATAATTATTTCATCTGATGAGTGTGATTGGTGAAGAAGTGGTTCTATATTTTCTTTCTCTTCCGCTGACAGTCGTCTAGACCATGGATCATTCTGCATATACACCCTGGTGCATGGATGGTTGTGGACCATTTTGTGGGATGTTATCACGTATTCACTATAACGCAAAATTACGCGAAATGCAGACAGACAGTTGCAACATTTAGACCTTAAACATACATATTATCATAATACAATTCCTCTTACGACTTGTTTCGCAATTTCAGGCCAGCTTTTCCACGGTTCACGCCAAAAGTGCATTTAAAATAAACGTAAGCGTACTTATATCTGTCTTCCCCTGTTGTTTTGCTTTGAATATGCACATAGTGAGTGCAGGACAACTACATTGTTAGCATTAAATGACTTCCTCACTTGTTGAAATTCTCCTAAGGAATTTTCAAATTCCTCCCAACTAAAGAAACGCCTTCCCAGCATAATTTCATCGAAAATTCCACTGACGTCAGCAGTACTTTCACCCGCATTGCCTACCTGCAATAAACTAAAAAGGCGTTGTCAATTAGCATCCATCTGTGTCGCAATATCCATCAATAAAATGCTACATGTATAACCTAAAATCGAGAAAAGCCCTCGAACTCACGGATTCCTTGACATCGCCAGCAACCGATAGGCCAACAAACAGAATGTATGATAAACCAAGCCTGGTACATGCACAAAATAAGCAAAATAAAACGTTAGAATACCAATATTTTACATTTATATTCATCAAACATGCTTGCAAACAACGCATGCCGCAACCACGAAAACCTGCACACGGCATGACCTACCGAGGACAAATTTAAGTCAAACTCTCCGCCACTGTACTAGCCAATCAAAGCTGAGAAAGCCCTTAAGCGCGTAAGATATAACACCCTATAACGTATATTCACACTCGTTGATAAGGCATATCCCCTGTTTGAAGTGGCGCCTCCAGCTTTACCTTGAGGACATTTGCGCGGTCTAGTTGATTTCAGTTTGGCTGATTTGTTCCGTTAGATCTAGGTAGCTGCATTTGACGTGATTCTGGTTTCTGTTTGGCTTGAACTGTATTGATTTTGTTAAGAATAGTCGTCAAAAGCTGCCTCTAGGCCTGAAGGCACTTATGGTGCAGGAGGATGCTTGAGAATGTGTTTCATGTGAAAATTATAGGGTGCACCTAAAATCCTCCTGTTTGTGGCGTCTCAATGATTTCTGTAGAGCTTCGTTTCATCACTTGTGTCCATATTTGTCGTTCACGAGTGTTTCAGTAAATGTTTATGGCTATAATCAGGAACTTTCCAAAACGGTAACTGTGGTAAGGAATTTATATTTTTTTCCGCTATAGTTTCCAAGTCAATGTCTCTTTTAAGTTGCTTACTGTACTCTGTTGGCTATTCATGAATTTTTTATTGACAAGCTTCTGTTTTCATTTACAGTGGTACCGAATGGACGCATTGGCACTTGGAGACAATGGCGACCAACCTGCCCTTCTTATATCAGTGGATATCAAAAACCTTTTTGACGGAATTATGTTTAGTCACCGGTATACCAGTTGGGTTCAAGTAGAAGATGCTCTAAGTCAGCTGGAATCAGTAATATATGTATATATGTATGACAGAGTATTCCTAGGCAACTCATACACATTATGTAATCAAAAAGTGCATACGGGACCATGAATCTCAGGATTTGAAGTACAAATTAGTAGTCTTTCGTTGTACATATAGCATGAAGCGAAAAACTAGAGGTTCAGGTTTACGCGTCAAACCGTAAGAATTCTATTATTTATTTCTGCAGTGCAAAATACACCGGTTGCCAATCTGGCTTTCGTATACGCTACAAGGAGGACGAGTTTATCATTTCTTCCGCGAAAACAGTTCACAATCACAGATGTGAAAAAAGTCTTATGATAGGTGATCCATATTTTAGACGCCTGTCCGGGGATGAAAAGGAGAATATTGCACCAGTTGTGAAGACTACATCTGAGGTTGCTGATGTTTTGGAATATGCTGAAGAGAATTTTAATAAAGTTTTGACGAGCACAGATGTGTATAATTTACGTAAGGATGTGAGACCAGGTAATTGAAGTAGTTTAAAGTTATTTTTGAAGCCATGCCTTTGAGATCAGATGTTATGCGCATAATAAGGCAAAGTGGTCAGGTGGTTGAATACGTGGATTCGAATACAGGGATAACCAGCAGAATTTGCTTCGCCCTGGAATCACAGGTTCAGTTATATCGGAAATATGGAGAGGTGGTGACGGCATATACCTGCACCAAGTGGATTATACCAATTCTACTTGTACCTGCAGAATATTTAGGGCACAAAGAATACCTTGCCGGCATATGCTGCTATGTCACACTCAAATTCCTCAGTTTACAGGTAAATCAAACTCTTAGTAATATTTAAATTAATATTTTTAGTTGACAAAGTAATTCGCCTGTGTCGCAGATGGTTTTGGCAGGATCCGTTGCTACCAAGTCGTGTGCCGTGTGAAGGTTCAGTGAAGAAACCCTGCATGGAGATACTGCAACTTCGCAGGCAATTGAACAGAAGCTTCGCAGTTATGCAGGATAATTATAGTAATGAATATACTATTAGTGCACTGCGAGCAACTCTGAATTACTTTGAGAACTTTCTTGTATAATAATGGAAGATGTACATAAATTTTGTGTCAATAAATGCAAATATACCCTAACTTCTAAACTGCATACGCCTTATGTTTTACCGTTTCATGTGACAGAAGTCTAATAGTCATTTGCGAATATAGTAGAAAGCATTTTCTAGAGAGCAAGTAAAAGTGAGTACTAGGCGGAATCTCCAGTACTTAGTATGAGAAGTAAGGTGAACGTTTTTTTCTTGTAAGTACGCAATGAAAAGATAATGACGAGTTTTTGTAACTAGCATTGTATTTACTATGTAGGTAATGTTATTACAGGCATACGTTGCTATAACGTGTCTAGTCTGGCGTATCGCCGCATGAGTAACACCAATTGTAGCGTTTTCCAGTCAGTAAAATTTCGACTTTTCGTACGTCAAACTTCGCGGAAGGTAGATGAAATTAAAGACTGCTTCCAGAAGATCCGTACAACGGCACCTTAGGCAATGTCTACAAAGACAAAAATAAGATAATTAGAAGACACGTTAAAATGCATAGGTAAATAAGTCAAGTACTGTTTTGGAATAAGGGAGATTACTAGTATTATTACAAGGTCTTCAACTCATTTCATTTCTTTCGACTGCTACCATTTCTTGCGTCAGCGTTACTTACTTATAGTTCACTGTAACTTCTTCGTTGCACCCTATTTACACAGTGCAAGGAAATGAGAAAATGAGTGCAATACTTAGGATACAGCAATAATAAGGGTATAAGCAGATTAACACTGCAGCGAGGTGCAACAGTAATAATTTGCTTTGTTCGAAAACAGTATTAATGTTTCAGTGTTGAATTCGCAGCATCTCGTACATTATTGTATCTCATCTTATGAAGTAATAACATCTCCAAGGTATTTCATGTTAGACTTAGTTTATGTTTCAGTGCCCTCTGTGATACAAGCATCTTGTGAATGATACATGAGTATTTCAGTTATGCGTACTAAAGGTTTAAAAAAATCACTCATCTAATTCACTTCTATTAGCACTAATTCTTATGTCCATGTTACTGACTTTTGGTTTATGTTTTCTTCAGTGCACTTTATCTGGACAATTTAAGGAATTGGGAAATGCATTGAGTACTTAAGAAACGGCATTCATAATTGTTTGTGCCAATTAACACTGTAGTGAGTTGTGACACTAGGCAGCTGCAGTGACAAAGCCGACTGACTGAGTTTTAACATGGAACTCGGTGGAGAAGTGCAACTTTTGAGATGTAACGGGACAGAGTGTAAAAGTTATCTCGAGTAGGAGGAGAAATTATTGTAAGACAACTCTTTTTCAGTTAGACGAGAACCGAATAAAAAAATGCGATTATCATTTGTTGACATTTTGCTTATTTTTATCCACGTTTTAGCATTTCATTATACCTGGACTATAGATCATTCTGACAGACTGACTTTCAACAGAGAAGCTTGCAAACAAGTGCACCTGTTTACGTTATCACATTCCATGTAGCACACAAAGGTAGAGAAAAAAGAAATCAAATGGAACTCTAATGAGCATAAATGTCATGGAAAACGAACAGTGATATGGAAAGAACACAATGGTTGCTCAGATATGTAAGATTACACAGAGTGAATGCATCTGTGTTATAAACAACGTTTGAAGTCACATTTCTACTTAACACTAAGCTTCACCCCAATATTACTCACCATTTTAGACTACTTAACACAGAAGAAAGGGCACAGACACTGCGATCAAAAACCAGTAGTCTTTTCGTATCTTCCAGTTTCAATGGTCACTTCTCACAACCTAGGTGGACAATGTCATTAGCATACACTAAGTTGACAAGACTTTTCCCTGGTAAGTCCCTGAAGTGAGTGACACACAATTTTGTTAATACATGTATGATGAAAGTGAACTAAAATAAGGACGGCAGTTGTAGAAATGAGCCTTGTATTATATCATTCTTGGAAATATCAGTTCCCTCATAGTTTAGTTTCAGTATTAAGTGAATGGAATGCAATCTACAGATTCATGAAATTCACATACTGACGTACTACTTTTCTGGAATCATAGTTAATGTCTCCTCATTAAAGTGAGCAATGGGTATTGTACTTGTGTAAAATCAATAGGCTGTGAACCGCTGCCGATGAAAACGACAGAAATTCTTGGAATTATCAGTTATAATTTCAGCTGGATCACATGCAACACTCAGCAGTTGTTAAGTGGTCAATTCATGAACATGGAATCCATACAGAAAGCGCAGAAGATTTAGTACAACATGCACACTCCTGATTTCACTATTCAGCATGCACGCCGAATGCATTACTTTAGGGGCCTACACAGTTCATAAATTAACTCACAACACTGAAGTGGAGAAATTCATATTTTTCCTTACTGAGTTAAATATAGCGGTTCTTGTGAAGTAACTTTCTTATGCAGAAGAGAAGAGCAAGGTATTCATAATCTTCTGCTACATGTGGAATCGCAGTGCAACTCGATGCGCAATAGTATATATACAAATAAACTCAAAAATAAAGTCCTCCTGGTGACACATTGTGACATGATAGGAAGTGAGACGGTCAGATCACCAGCGTATTTGACGAAGTTGCTCTCATTAGAAAGAGAAAAGTCATGTAAGACAAGAGAGAGAAAAAAGAAAAGGAGAGATGACAGTACCCTGAGGAACACAACCTTCAGCAAGCAAGGCGGAAGACTTACCCTAATATACAGTATGCTGTATACCATTTGGGAAATGATAATGCAACCAATCACCTGCACAGGACTCGTGTTTGCACGACCGAAACCTTACTCAACTAATATCATCTAGGTCCTTAGTCAATAACGGCATATGTTGAATAACTTAAAGCTTAGCACAAAAGTGATAAAGCACAAAAAACACTTGCAAAGTAGGAGACGAATCCCGGGTGGATGAAGATGTTACTGAAAGGTATTTATTTGTCATTTAATAATAATAATATATTCTCATTTTTGTACATGAGGGACGCCAATTTACAGGCATCATCAATTCGATAAATTACACATACGAATAGTAAGTATAGTCACTAATGATAATATAATAAGGTACATAATTATTCCTACAAATGCAGGACACACAAGTTGTAAAGCCATGGATAAGTATTATTTAAGTTACATATTTAAATTACATGAAATACGGTTAAATAACATGGTTGCTGTCATTTTATCTTCAGTTTGTGGGAAAAATCGGATAACTGGTTATTCAATGGGACACACCAAGAAATGTAGAGATATTGAC